AATTAGGTCCCCCCCCTAATTAGTATTTAGGGCCCCCACCCACCGTTCAGGGGGGAGGATATTAGGTCCTCCCCCTCATTCTAATTTAGGGCCCCAACCGCTCAAGCATGGGGGCCAGGAGGGAGGACATTAGGGCCCCCACCCATTATTTTACTTTAGGGCCCCCACTTCTGCTGAGGGGGTGTGCCGGACATTAGGTCCCCCCCATTATTTTACTTTAGGGCCCCCACACGCCGCTCAGGGGTGGGGCAAATTCTAATTTAGTGTCCCCACCCGCCGCTCAGGGCTGGGGGCCGGAGGGGGGACAATAGGCCCCCCTTTAGTTTAAGAGCTCTTTTAAAACTCTTGGAGAATATTAAAGAAGATATTCAGAAAGGGTTGTCAGATTTAAAACCGGAACTAAGAAGTATGCAAGAAAAATTAGGATCTATAGAATAAGATGCAAACTGAATTAAAATATGATCATATACAGACAACAATGACAGACTTGCAGCTCAAAGTGGAACAACTAGAGGGAAAACTAAATGATTTGGAAGATCACTCTAGGAGATCCAATATCAGAATCCAAAATATCCCTGAAATAGTTAATGACACAATGCTGAAATTTTTTTTAATGGATTATTTTGAGTCGTTACTAACTGAAACTGGTTTAAAAGATTCTAAATTAGAAAGATTCCACTGGCTCCCTAGACCTTGAAATATAGCAGAATCCTCACCAACAGATGTAATAGTCAAATTTCAATCTTTCTACCTCAAAAATAAGATAATGAGGTCATTAAAAAAACAAACCTGTACTGGAAGAGAGGTTCAAGGCCTTACTGATATTCCCAGATTTATCATTTCACACAAGAACATGGCAGAGAGGTTTTAGCCAGGAGTTGTCCACTTTAAGAGCAAGTGAAGTGAAATACATATGGGGATTTCCCAAATGCCTTAGGATCTTTTGTCAAGAGAAGACGGAAAAATGGATAACTTCGGACTCCCTGAGAAAGTGGATGGAAGAAAAACAAATGTTTGGAACAGCGTAACAATAGAAGACAGATGATGTTTTGAAGGAGGGTGGATGGAAGAGGACTTTTTTTTTTTTTTTTGTAAAAACAAGAAACAACCGTTGGTAAATAGGAAATCTTATTAAGATGACCAACAGAATCATAAAGAGAACATTATAGCGGTAACTAAAATTAGATCCTACTGGATCAGGCTCTCCAAAATATGGAATGAATTTTTGTTTTTTCTTTCTTGTAATAAATGGTTGATGTATACAGTAGAAATATCACATACAAGAATAAGGAAGGAGAAAGATTGCACACAAGAAACAAGAAGGGCAATGCTTATATAAAACACGAGGCAAGAGTGTGTTCACTTATACATAGCAAACCACGATAATAAAGATAATAGTATAAACATACAGGTGAGAGGTTTAACAACCTTTCATTTTTTTACGTGAAGAAGGAACTGAAGTTAGTAGGTCAAATATAAGGGGTGTAGAATGATTAAGTAAAATTGAAAAAGTGTCAATACACACGTTCATACAAGTGAAGCAATTTGGGGGAAGTACAATAGGTAATAAAAATAAACATGTAAGAAACAAATAATTTTCACTGACATATTCACAAGAAATGGCCACATAGAATGTTCATAAGAAAATATACACTCAGTTTTATAGATGGTGTGAAGGACTTGAAAGATGATATACATAAGTAAGATATAACTCAGCCATTTAAGGTTATATAAGGATAATTTTTTTTTTCTCTTCCCCCTTTTTTTCTTCTCCTCTTTATTTTTTTGGGGGGAGGAAGGGAAGGTTGATGGTAAAATAAAAGGATCATGGTCACTCTTGATGGCTATATTGTCCCACCAAGTGTCAATGCTTTGACACAAATACCGAGATATGGTCACCAATGCTACCATATTACGAAGACAGAACTGGTTCCTGGGGGGCGAGGTGAGAGGCAACCTCCCAGGAGTCAGGTCACGTCGGGCCAGACTGGGATTTCTTCCCATAAGGCCATTTTTGGTCCATGTGATTTGGTGTATGTGTGTTTTATGCAAAGTGTTGCAATCTTCTTGGGGACAGTGGCATTATCACTCTATGAATTATAATGGTGTAAATGATTTCGGTTAATGTCCAGGGATTAAACTCTCCTAACAAAAAATCTCTAATTTATAATTATATGCTAACAAATAAAGTGGAAGTGGGTTTCTTCCAAGAAACCGACTGGAAGGATACAGACAATCATGGTTGGGGTGGTTCGAGTTTTCCTATAGTGATTCACGCTTGACTAAGCAATAAAAAAAAGAGGGGTAGCAATAGCCTTTTCTCACACACTAAAAGTGGAAATTACGCACCATGTTAAAGATAAGGAGGGTGATATGTTAGATAGTGATGTCGCGAACATAAAATTTTCGGTTCGCGAACGGCGAATGCGAACTTCCGCAAATGTTCGCGAACGGGCGAACCGCCATAGACTTCAATAGGCAGGCGAATTTTAAAACCCACAGGGACTCTTTCTGGCCACAATAGTGATGGAAAAGTTGTTTCAAGGGGACTAACACCTGGACTGTGGCATGCCGGAGGGGGATCCATGGCAAAACTCCCATGGAAAATTACATTAGTTGATGCAGAGTCTGGTTTTAATCCATGAAGGGCATAAATCACCTAACATTCCTAAATTGTTTGGAATAACGTGCTTTAAAACATCAGGTATGATGTTGTATCAATCAGGTAGTGCAAACTCCCCATTTGCACAAGGTTGGATACCAAGCTAGCCATGTCCCGTTCCTTGTCCTCACTGATGTCATTGAAGGTGTCTTCCTCCACCCAGCCACGTGCAACACCAAGGGTCCCCAAAAGGTGACAACAAGCCCCCTGGGACGCCTGCTGTGTTTGGTCTTAACCTCCTCAAAGCCACCTTCCTCCCCTGACTCCTCTTCTTCAGACTCCTCTCTCTGTGTTGCCTCTCTCTGCATTATTATAAGGTGTGTTAAGTAGTATTATTCTTATCAGTTTAATCCCTGTTATGTCCCCTATCAGGAGACGTGTATATGGCATCCATTTTAGGAATCGGGAGATGGAAAAAGATGCTTGGTCGGTCCTCCTACTTCAAATTTGGGGCACTGCGCGTGCAATCTAATGTGCCACCAGATAGGAGTGATGTGTTAAGTAGTACTATTCTTATCAGTTTAATCCCAATGTCATGACTACTAGTGTGGTCCAGCACGCAGAAACTATGTAAACATATACATAGGCAAGAAAAGGAAAATAAAAGGACAGAGCGTAAACCGGACCTTAGAATGGCCGGACTAATACGCTAGAGACAGAGAATGGTCAAAGGGAAAGCCGAGGTCAAGGAAGCCAGAAAATACACAATACCGTTTACACAAGCCAAGTCAGGGAAACCAGAATTCAGAATAACCAGGGAAAAGCCAAGATCAGGATACCAGGAAATCAGATTCACAATGATAAAGCACTCTCAGGAAACCAGGAACAGGAAACCATGACAGGGCAAGGTACTGGGGTGAGCTAGGGATTTAAATATCACGCGGCGGGCCGGCAGCCACGACACCCTGTTACGTCCCCCTCATCAGGCCTTTTTTAGTCGAATGTATCGCCCACTGTCAGTCCCTTCGGGATCCATCCCTCATTCATCTTAATAAAGGTGAGGTAATCTAGACTTTTTTGACCTAGGCGACTTCTGTTCTCAGTGACAATACCTCCTGCTGCACTGAAGGTCCTTTCTGACAGGACACTTGAAGCGGGGCAGGCCAGAAGTTCTATCGCAAATTGGGATAGCTCAGGCCACAGGTCAAGCCTGTACACCCAGTAGTCAAGGGGTTCATCGCTCTTCAGAGTGTCGATATATGCAGTTAAGGCGAGGTAGTCTGCTACCTGTCGGTCGAGTCATTCTCTGAGGGTGGACCTCGAAGGGCTGTGACGATGCGTAGGACATAAAAAGCTCCGCATGGGGGGGCGTGGCCAACCGCCGATCTTAATGGACGCACATTAACTTTGCTCCTCCGGACCCACTTACAATCCACGACAATCGGAGATAATAGAAGGTTATGGGCAACCCCAAGAAGCACCCGCACACCCAGGGGCAATCGGGGAGGACGCCAGGTACGAAATCGGGTTCTCTAACCCGTTATTTTAAAGAAAATACTGACCGGGAGATGGATGCCGCGGCCGCGGCCTCGAGTTTGGAGGGGGCGGTTTCTCAATCGGGATCTCAACCTCCCAGCCCTTACTACTCAGAGAGCTCCCAATCAGCAGACAAAAATGAGGATTTAGACATTAAACAGCTACTTAAGAACTTACCCTCTAAAGCTGATATCCAACACATGCTGGGCAAACTTGAAGTTTCCTTCCAATCCAAAATGGAGGAGATGGGCTCTGACGTCCAGCAGCTTAACCTGCGGGTTGCTGACCTGGAAGAAGAAAGGGATGTTCTACAAGCTCAAATGACCAACATATCAACTACATTAGACTCCCACATTCAAAATTGGGCATCAACACAGCGCCACATAGACGACCTCGATAACAGGGGCCGCAGGAACAACCTGCGAGTCAGGGGGATACCTGAGACCCCGGGAGAGGACGTCATCGCACTACTTATAGAGCTTTTCAACTTACTCTTGGGAGACCCTGCTGAAAATGTAATCCTCTTGGACAGAGCACATAGGTCACTTCGCCCCAAAGGCCTGACTCAAGAAGCCCCAAGAGACATCATCTGCAGGCTTCATTACTTTACTGAAAAAGAAAAGGTAGTGAAAGCCCTAAGGGACACCACACAACCACTGCTCTTCCACGGCAACCCAATACAAATATTTCCAGATCTCTCATGGTACACCCTCCAGGCGAGGAGAGCTCTCAAACCAATAACAGAACTCCTGAGAAACCGTAACATAAGATACAGATGGGGATTCCCCTTCGCGCTATCGGTGACCTCCAAAGGTTCAGTGCATGTTATCACATCGATCCTAGACGTTCCTCCTTTCCTCAGAGCACTAGACCTGCCAGACACGGCAGTCATGGACTGGAACTCTCCTCCGCCAAATCAAGACACACTGCACCTCTCACAACGACAGAAATGGACCACTCCAGCTAAAAAGAGGCGCACAGACCAGAGGCTCATCTCACCGAACCGTAGGAATACAAATATCCCTCTCACTCACACTCCAAGACGTACGCAGTCCAACATCCGCCTTCAAGATCACCCGACACAGAATTAACCCAAAGCGACCCACTGGACTTATCTGCACTATCAACATCCCAGCAGCGACAACTCCATAAACACCTGGGCCATACTAGCAAACGCCTATTTCTCACCAATCGGACAAAGCAGCCAACATCGATATGCTCCAACTAACGCCCCAATCCAACATCCCCCTCCAGCGAACTATTTACAGTGGCCTAGTACCACAGGGACTTGTATTGGACTTACCTCGCGGGGAGGGCTGAGAGTAACAGAAGCGCCAGGTTGTATACCTCTACACATTAGTCGTATAGGCTGGTTTTGTACGTGCAGATTTGTCTCTATGGTGTTAAGGCTTTTAAGCTATTACTATACTGTTACTGTGGTAAACTTTGCCATATTGGCGGTGATTATATTGTAGAAGCTAACTGTGGCACTGTGACCCAGTTAACTACGCCCCTCTCCCTCCTCTACGTTAGTAAATAGAGATGGTGCGAATTACAGAAGAAGCGGTTGACTACTTATTAGAGCACTGCCCTACTCAACACGAGATCCGAGCTAGAGCTCTAAATATAACCTAACTCTCACTGCTATGACTTACTTATCTATGCGGCAGATTAGCTCTGGTCTATTAGGCTCGCCCACCCTCCACACAACCTATCGAGCAAAAAAAAACACAAATTGGTTTCCCACATCTGACAGAGCCGCACCGCGCTAGTACTACCATACAAGTATACCTACTGCCGCAGTCGCCCACAATTTATTTCACCATTTAGAGATATAAGTTGCCACACCTTGTAACCTTAAACGAAAGTAAACTCCAAGAAACACTTTTCTCCGTTAAGACATTCTAAACTATAGGATTGTAATTTGAGGGTCCCAGACCCATGAGCAACTATAGGATTGTAATTTGAGGGTCCCAGACCCATGAGCAATTCCACGACCCCATCTATCTGTTGGTTCTCTCTCCTGCGTCGAGACTGAATCATAACCCCCTTGGGGGAAGACCCCTGCCTACCTCTGCAATAACTCATCCACCTCTCCTCTTCATCCACTTGACCCACTATCCTCCCTTCCCCTTCCCCAACTTCCCCTTCTCCCCTTCCTCCCTAATCCCTTTCCTTCCTATAACTAGGTACCTGGTACCCCATAGACCCTATCTAGCGAGACATTCAGCTACACAATAAACCATTCAGCTGAGCTGCAAGTTCCTGAAGCTGAGAGACAAATCTTAGCCCAGGATACGCTAAAGAGAAAGATTATCAAAAAAAAAAAAAAAAAGGGACCCTACTGTGATTTATAGACTTTTATAAGTTGCAATTATTCTGTTTTATTGTTTAATTGTGTATTGAAGTTTTCCGTTAATTGTTGACTATTTACAAAAGAGGTGACTTGAGTATCGTGGGACCAAGTTCTTAACACCAGGGATCAAGCCACTTAACTACACGCTTGAGACACGCACAGACTTTACACTATCAGTAACGACCGCAAGTAGCGAATTATCACCCCTACACGATTCAAGGGGACTTTAGGTGTGTGATAGCCATAACTAACCTTCACTAACACAAGTTGCTGCTTCACACGGACCTCACTCATCCTTTTATTTATCGACCTTAATTCTCAACTACAATATTAGTGACACAAACAGGGCCCTCCCGAAACTCTCTGCAAGTACCCGGGGGAGCCCAAATATATATATCAATACTCTGCTCCAGACTCCACGGCACCCAATATGTCTGACATTATCATTCATACACAAAACGCTAAGGGGTTAAATACTCCCGAAAAAAGATCGATAGCCCTCACAGACTTCAAGAGACATAAAGCACATATCGTGTTTATACAGGAAACCCACTTTCGCAAAGACTCCCCTCCCAATTTACGTAATAAAGACTACCCGCACGGATACTTCAGTCACTACACCGAAGCTAAAGCTAGAGGCGTAGCGATCCTCATAGGACAACATACTCAATTCACATTCCAAGACCAACAAATAGATGACTCAGGTAGATTCATCTTCCTGAAAGGTAAAATAGGGAACACCCAGATCACCTTAGCAAATGTCTATCTACCAAACAAGAAACAGAACCATGCCCTTAATAAGATTTTACAAAAACTATCCTCCTTCCAAGAAGGGATTCTCATTATGGGGGGTGATCTCAACACTGCCCTCGATGGACACCTAGACACTACCTCGTTATCTCAAAACTACCAAACACAGACACGGATACTTATCAAAAACACACTGTACGAAGCTAGGCTCTATGACAGTTGGAGGGCTATTCACCCCACAAAAAAGGACTACTCCTTTTATTCCACAGCCTCTGGCACCTATTCACGCATAGACACTTTCCTAATTCAACACAGGTTTTTACCCTTACTACGCTCAGCAAGTTATGGCCCGATCACTTGGTCAGACCATGCACCACTGACTATGACTCTCTCAATTCCGACCCTACCCACTCAATTTACTCAGTGGAAATTAAATGACTTGCTACTCAATACAGACGAACACTGGCCAAATTAAGGGAGACAGCGTCTAACTATTTCAAAGAAAATTCCAATCTAGACACAACGCCTATTATGACATGGGAGGCCCACAAAGCGGTACTCAGGGGAGAACTAATTAAAGCAGCCGCAGCCCTAAAAAAGACCAGGGAACAGAAAATATCTCAACTCACTAAAGACATTAAAGACATGGAAAGTAAACACCAAACCAAACCATCCTTAGACGATTACAAACGCATCTCGCATATGAGAACAGAGCTCACATCCATTTTACACTTACATGCCAAGCGCAAAATATCCCTGACAAAAAATACCTATTACTCGCAAGGGGGCAAAGCTGGTAGACTCCTGGCGAAGTCCATTCAGCAGGAAAGACAATCGTCTTTCATTTCGGAAATCAAGAAAGAGGACGGAACTCTAACGTGCCACATGCCAGACATACTTGAGTCTTTCCATAAATTTTATTCTCAATTATATAACCTGACGAACTCTAAGCCTTCGGCTGAAGCTATCTTAGAATTTTTAGAGCCAAGGGTTCAACACACTATTCCCCCTAACGAATCAGCATTTCTTGACAGCCCCATAACACTTGAAGAATTCCACAACACAGTCAAATCACTGCCTCTGGGGAAAAGCCCCGGCCCAGATGGATACACCGGGAAATACTATAAAGAACTATCACACATCCTAGCCCAACCGTTCATAGACGCTTATAATGACAGTAATATCTCTTCCCACATCCCGACCTCAGCCCTAGAAGCTACGATTACATTGATACCAAAACCAGGAAAAGATACTACAGTATGTGGGAACTTTAGACCTATCTCTCTCATAAACATAGATTTAAAGATCCTTACCAAGATAATGGCCACTAGACTTAAACCATTCATGCCGAGCCTTATCCATCAAGACCAGGCAGGATTTGTCATAGGTAGGGAAGCCAAGAATAACACTACCAAGGTCATCAATCTCATCCAGTGGGCCCAGACACACAAGACCCAAAGCACGTTACTGGCGATCGACGCTGTAAAGGCATTTGATAGGGTCAAATGGTCACTCCTAAAACTTACAATGCGATTCTTAAAATTTGGAACTAGGTGGTTAGAGTGGTTGGAAGCGATATACTCAAAACCATCAGCGAGACTGAGACTAAACGGGCAACTATCCGCCCCGGTCACCATTTCAAATGGCACGAGGCAGGGTTGTCCTCTGTCGCCCCTCCTATTTATTCTGGTCCTAGAACCTTTTCTCCAGGGTATTAGGGACAATGCACACATACAAGGACTCCAAATCGGAGGACAGAATTACAAAATCACAGCCTTTGCAGATGACCTCCTCTTTAGCATATCGAGCCCACTCACAACTATCCCCAATATCATATCAGAAATGGAGGCCTATGGCAAACTCTCATACTTCCAAGCTAATTTAACAAAATGCGACCTAATGCCAATTTTTACGACAAACGCCCTAGACACCCAACTTCGCTCTAGCTTCAACTTCAACTGGGCCGCTAAGGCGATTAAATACCTGGGAATTCACATTCCCAATAACCTAAGGTCGTTATACGCCACCAACTTTATCCCATTAGTTGACTCCATCGCCAGGGACCTACAAAGATGGCAAAAACCGTGCCATGGTTGGATATGTCGTATTAACATTATCAAAATGAACGTCCTGCCCCGGATATTGTACTTATTGCAGACGATCCCGGTCATGATCCCGAATAAATTTTTCAAAACAATTA